AGAACACGTATATATTTTTTTCGGCTAATATATAACAATGAAAGATAAGAGTAACGTATTAACAAATAAAAAAAATCAAAATTATATCGAAAAGTGGCATATCTTTAGAGGATGGAAGCGTGGGTGTAAGGTTTGTGACGAATGCAATCACCATTCACATCTATATTGCAAAACATGCAAAAAGTAGCGAACGGAATATATAGGTAATGTGAATGTGAAAGTTCTCAAATAATTAATGTTTAATATACATAATATTCAATAAATTTTGCATATGAAATTTATCTGTACATATCACTAGGCTTATCGTTATGCATAACTTATTTGTTAGATAAAAGTACTGTTATTTTTTATTTGAGAACGTTTTTATTTTTATTTTTTATATCAATTTTATGTGTAAGAACCTGTTTGATGAAAGCATTTAGTATTAAATCCCATTTCAAAAGGTTAGAAATTGAAAAATGTAACAAATTGAAAAGCGATTACTGGTGTTGTATCTGAAAATCTTAAGATAGAAATTTTTTGATTTGTTACTAAATCTCATATCTCATATAGCATGTTCATAATTTTATGTATAATTTAGAGTTAGTTCGAATTTGGTCAATTAAGTAAAACCCTACTCTATTTGATGAAAGCATTTGGTAATAACGTTTAGATTGACAAGTTCGAGGAGCAGTTCTAATTCCCTATTCTATTGATTTCTCATTTTGTTTGCATACATACCTTGCGTGTAAATTTCACTGTTTCATATTTCCTGTGTCTCTGCGATATATCTAGTAAAGAATTTTTTATTTTTTTAAAAAAATAACAAATTTGCATAAGAACTAACAAAAAGTCTACCTCTAACCATAATATAAACTAACCCTAACATAAACGAATTTTTTTAAAAAATTTTCACACATCACGTGACAGCAACATTTTGGGAATTAGATCATGTGCGTGTGCTACAATCGATCTTATTTATGTCATTTGACTTTACAAACGCACACAATATGTCAACAGGTGGATTACCGGAAGAAACTCTAAAGAAAGTGCAATATCGGGGTAAGTATTTATTGTTCTTCACTATATTAAATGATAATAAATATTCTAACCTGCAACCGTATATCAGAATATTGGGAGGAACCACATTCCAAGTGGGGAAATACAGATACGTGGGATCACTATTTCATCGAAAAGATACCAGATGCAACGAAGCACAAGTCACATAATGCTCTAGGCGCTGAATTAAAAGTTTTGATTCAGAACTTAAGACCAGAAACAAGAGCAGGCAGAAAGGCATTAGCGATGCAACGTGATTTGAGGGTCAGTATTTTTACGAAACGGCAAATGTGCTACACCCTGTGCTGCTGGTATGGGGAAGAAGAGCGCTCAGTCTTATGTACACCATGACATGCATACTTTGCTGTGTGCTACGCCCTACGCTGCTGGCTTATGGAAGAAGAGTGTCTGGTCTTTACATCACTGCAGCGTGCATATTTTGCTTTTTCATGGGAGTCGTACCCTGCGACCGCTGGTCGAGTTGAGGTCAATTTTGGGCCGAGATGGGAAGCGAGTCACAATCTAGTATATACTCATTGTGACTTGTGCTGTTCCCCGTTGGCTTAGCAAATTTTTTTGCTAATCTTTTTTTACTATTTATTTCGTTTATTAATATTACAGAAAAATGGGAAACACCTTGAAGATCCACCTGCTTACGATACACATCGAAGACGAGGTGTCTAATTCACAAACACATCCAACCGTTGAGGAACTAATATTTGATACACATATTGCCACATTACTCCTACAATATAGAAGAGTTCTTGAAGAAATGAGGAATCATTACGTAGAACAAGAATCACAACGAGGCCGACACTTATCTAATATGCTTAAGTGGTCTGTTGTGGACCATTCTCTGTTTAATGGATTCAAGTTTGTTGTCAGCTTACTAAGACCAGCTATTAACATGTCATTATTGGAACCTATCCTTATGGAGAGCCGGAATAAACCAATTCATCACGTAGTTACGATTTTACGCAATTTGATTACTAAAGAAATTGTAGATGATATAAGCCCTGGCTTTAAAAGATGGCTAGAAAGATTATGGAAAGTTCGTATAAAGGAATACTACATAATTGATACAATAACGGCATTAACCGCTATCACTTCAGTTATTTTTTACTCACCTACACCCTGCCGAGGTCCAGGGAGTAAACCATCAGAAAACCATATAAAATCACAAATGTGGGCCAAAATCTTTTCGGATACATTTCTCATTGATTCAGACGATATTGATGTGAATTGGGAATATCATCACCAAATCCCGGGTAACGGTGGAAGCGGATCTGCTAGATCTGATATTGCTGCTGTTGTTTTCAATGACACCGATCAACAGTTTCCCTTTTTTATAGCTGAATTTGAGACTGACGGATTTTCAGTACATAAGGTTGAAATGGTCGTGGCGGCAGAAGCTGCATTCGAATATAATCGTATTCTTACAGCTGCCTACTATTTATCGGAAGATGAAGTAAATTCATCTCGCCTGCATATTGGCCTTATAAATGGGACAACCATTCATCTGGGTTCGATGAAGCCGATCTATGACGAAGAAAAAAAATCTTTGATTTATGCCTACGAAATAAACAATGTCACTTTCAAACTCTACACTGGTAATCAAGAGGCCGATATTGCAAGTGCACTGAAGTTAGTGGCATACTTGAGAACAAATGTATGTCAGGATGGAATATCACTTAAAGCATTACTTAACAGGAAAAAAAATATGCGCAATGGAACTTTATTAGCAGCTTTGCCCCGTCTTCCGAAGAGAGCCGTCAAGTCACGTCCAAAAAGTGATACAGAATTCACTCCTCAGGCGAGAAGAATTATATATATCGATGTTGGTTTGAATAATGATAATAATAATGTTCATTAGGATTTAGACTGAATATAAGATATACAGGGGGTTAGATTAGATATTTGTAGGAAAGAATTAGAATTGATGAAAATTAATAAATGACATAAATTACGCATGCAAATTTCTATTCCACTTATTATATAATAAATTATTTATCGGGTATATGATAAAATGTCAATACAATGTTTGTAATACATACCCAATATAGATCCATATATCCGATATAGATTTTTATGAGATTACGGAGTGATACGATCAATTCATTTTTTTATTGAAGGACGTGCTAGAGTTTTCTGTGTCTTGAATGTTAATATTGGATACCTTCAAATTTTTGTTTATGATCAAAAATCTTACTATCAAGATTCTCGAGTTTTCTAAATAACACGTTGTCATAAATATCTAATACTATTAAGTTGATTTAATCTCACAATAATTGAATGTTAATCCGCATGCATGTGACGTTAGGGTGACTAATCGCAAATTACATTGTAAAAAATCATGTAAAAAAAGCATGTAAAAATAAAAGATTAGGACACAGTGAGGGCCCCTTCTTTATTTAATATTTTTTTTGCCGAACTGATATTATACAAATAAAGAAATTATATTTATTTTTCGGTTAGAAATTTTCGAAGTAATGAACCATCATTAGATTTTGTTTTCAAAGTTACACTATCAGTTATCTTTGTTCCATCTTTTCGTATTTCTTCATGCTTTCCTAATATTAATGAAATAAAAAACTTAATTCTGAAAAATATCGCTTTAGTAACAAATAGATAGAGTTTTCTTACTAATTAGAATAGTTTCTGTAGGTTTTGGTTTAGATGGCGTTGGGTTATTAGTCATGGGAGTAGTAGTGTCATAGGTGGTAGTAATGGTGGTAGTGGTGGTGTCAGTCGTGGGGTGGTGTCATTGGTTGTGGGGTAGTATTATCGTTAGTGGACATTTCACGTTTCTAAATAAAAAAAATATAGTAAGTAAAGTTTCGTTTTTATAGACTATTAAATGGTATAATACATTACTTTAAAAATAAATTATGAACGGGCAAAAAATATGTATTATTATAACCCACCCTATAAGAAACAAAAAAATCATTTATTTTATACTTCACGTTCATTAGATCTAGAGAACCTGCTAGAAAGAAAATTACAAGTAATTATATTACTTTAACACAATGCCAGATCACACTTAAAAAAGAAACTCCGCTCAGACATAACTTCCAAATGCCGGATCTATTTTATTGTTTTTTCTGGTGAAATTAACCCCCTTAGATTCAACGATCACTTAAGGAAGGTTTAGATCTGACGATCTCAGGAGATGGCGGAGATTCGAAGTCCCTGTAACATATGAATTTGGATAAAACTACTGATAAAGAACGTTATACTCATTGCCCTTATAGCCTTTTTAAGTCTCATTCTTATCGCGGGATCGTATAAAGTAGGGAAAAGGGTCTAGGTATTATTCGTAATATTCATTAAAAATCGACCGTGAGAATTAATTCTACAGGAGAGTAACACCGCATAAAATTTAATGCGGGCCAGTCTTAATCTCATGATTAGGCGAATCATCACGGAACAGAAAATTTTTATTAAATTTATAAGTGCCATCAGAGTTTAATCAGCAGAAGATAACAAAATAGTATTCGGAAATTTAGTTGATAGCATTAAAATATCGCACATATGTATTTTACAAGTATTTTTAAGTATATATTTTTGAAAACAAACCTGCGCCCTCGAATATTCACAGCCCAGTATATATTATGACGCTTATTCTAAATTTGTAGTGCCAAATATATCAAAATTTCAGTCTCAAAAATCGTGATGTGTGTTGATTATTCATCGTGTAAAATTAGAAAAAAATACTTCTGATACACGACTGGGTTATACAATCCCCCAATGTGTATCAGTTGGTTGTCCATTATCTTTTTCGAACTCTAAAGAAGGTTGAAAGTTTATATTGCCTGCCTTTTGCAGTGTTAATAAATTTCTCGGAAATCTGTACGAAAGAGTGGTCATAAGTTTGCAAGTCCAGAAGATGGTACATTAGAATGCACTATCACAAATGAAGTATTCATACCTTAATTGCGTGTTCGGAACTTTCGCTAAAAATATAATTACTGATTATTTCTGGTTGCAAGATCTGATCAAATCCAACATCCCTACTATCTCTTCGATTATATGATTTATAATATTTAAACAATTATTATTGCTGTTAATAGAACCAAAAGTGACATTCTAAAGTAAAATATAATTAAATATAACCTTCGTGTTCTGTAAGTGCTAGTATTCGGAGTATACGTTAAATATGTTTACAAGACTACGCGTCCCGCCTATTAGGATAACAAAAAATATTGCATCCAACTTTCTTCCTGACACTTCTGGGTATCAGGTTTACTTGTCCTACGAGAGGGACAGCGTCCATACACTCCTTTTTTATTAGGATAACCGATCTTGCATGGCATCCAGCGTTCATCTTTAATGAACCAAATTAACTTGGATTCAGATTACTTGCCCTACGAAAAAGGGATATGGTGTCTTGTGAAGAATCTCAACTCCAGGATCGGAGTTTAGACTGTTATCTAATAGAAGGGGATGGCTAAAGTCGGGTGCGTTTATATGTTTTTGATTATTTAATTAAAATTAGAGTAAGGGTTAGTTAGGGGTTAGGATTGGGCTTGTTTTGTCTTATAAGAAAAATTGTTTTCCCGACATTTTTTATTAATGCTTCTGGACAAGTTTAGTTGTATTTTCGACGTTTTTCACTTTTTTTCTTTGTTTTTGTCTCGTCGGGCTGATCCGTAAAGATCAAATTTTACGTGAACTAACCTGGCTTTAGACGACCCCCTATAAAAGTAAAATATCAGGTTTATCAATGTTAATTACATGATAAGGTTGATAATCATGAATCCAGCATGTAAACAGAAAAAATTAAAGAAGGACTCAAGATTTTTTCCCGAACTATTGTAAGTTCCAGAGTATAGTTTACATACAGGTAATGAAAATTGACTCATCAATGAATTCAGGAAAATATCGAGAAAAAACGGGAAGTCGCGGTCAAACAATTACAGGCACAGGCTGTAGTCATCTCTTCTGAAGAATATGTTGAACGTTCGAAGGGAGCTCGTTCCATTATTGCGCGTGATTTCTTGCCACAAAATTCTAAAAAAAGAAATCAGGAAGATGTATGAGTGAGCATTTTTTTTACAATAAGTTGAGAAGAATTCTACAAAGTTAATTATTTGCTTTAATACTTTTAGGAAGATGATCCTGAAAAAAAAAATGCAGTCAAAAAATGTAAAGACACTACACCAGCATCACAAACTCCAGAAAACCAGGTGGTAGCTGATGAACCAGGAAACCAGGTGGTAGCTGATGAACCAGAAAACCAGGTGGTAGCTGATGAACCAGAAAGCCAGGTGGTAGCTGATGAACCAGATTTAGATTATCTGAGCGAGCAAACAAATGTAGGCAATAAAAAACATTAATTACATTATGGATCTGATTAAAAAATTGCTGTTTCTACATTTAATCTAAAATTTTTACAGGGCGAATTAAATTCCAGGACACCATCTATCTATGAAGACGAAGATGAGGAAAATTCTTTAGATGGCAGTTCTGATGAAGAAGATATAGTTGAACTTGCAGACATATCATTTAATTCTTTTGTTGGTTCAAATACAGACAACAAAAAT